CTGAAGCCATATATTTGATTGGAATATCAGGAGAAAGAGTTGGCAGAAGGGACCAGAAACGCAAGGTACGTACGTACTTCATCTATTTTGCCAATCTTGTTCTATTCTACACACTCCGATGATCTGTAACATCTGATATAATCAACCCATCATGTTGGGACTCCCAAGGGACCTGGAAGGGTATCTGAGAATCCATCTTCACCCGCTCATAAAAGGCCCAGAAAATTGAAGGCTTCTGATCTATGATTTTAGAGGTGAGGAAACAAATTGATTTTTCATGAATCATCACCTCCGGTTTATTGCTCTTGTGAATTATTTATCCAGTAAAAATTCATGTAATGCTTGTCAGGTTCACCAAACCCACTGTCCTGGCCTGACAAAACATTCTCAAGCACGGAATCCAATTAAAGAGAGACCCCAGAAGCATGTGGGAATCATGAGTTGTGAACCTCCATTTTAGTAATTTAACTATGTCCAAGATGGAATGCAGCTAGTCATATGCAGAAGCACAATCTGCAAGCATCCCATTTTAGGAATTTTTAAGTTATGCTAATAATGTAATCAGATTCCCAGACAGGATATAGTTGCAGGTCAGAAAAGTCTTTGCCTTCCTGTCCTTTTCTTGCACGAACTCGACCTCCATATAGCTTTGGTACAGAGGCTATTGCCATCAAGCTAAAAACATCAAGCAAGGCAGCTCTGGTCAGCAAAGACTGACCCTTTTGAATGATGATAACAGTTCTTCATTATCTGAAGAGTTTCTTTTGCTAGTTACTAAAGAGGAATTCTAGACTGGTTTTGTACAAATTGTTTTTGTTTGGAGCGTTAAGGTCTTTCTTACTTTCATGAACTAGAATCTCATGTGACATTATGTAAATGCCATCCTGTCTAGGAATGTAAGTCATGGTTTTAACTGAAAAATGCTGCAGCTAAGGAGGAAGCTTGAAGATTGAAAACCTTGTGCACAATATTTCGTTTGCTTGGCCAATTATGTCTCTGGAACAAAGTCCACTTTATTGAATTCACAACATTCTCAATTTCAAAGTCCTGATAGCTTAAGATCAATTAGCTCCTTGCCGTTAAATCTAAACTTGCTTAAACTGTTCATTGATTGCTTGTGCGTGCATATCTGAATGCGGAGATGATTGTCAGCACCATCCTCGTGGCATTGGGGATTCATGATGTCGGTGCAGAAATTGTTCAAGGTATTGCAAGAAATGTGCCTTCAAGTCTTTAAATCTTCGGTCGCAATAGTTAGATAGCCAGTCACGCAGGTCCCGTTTGTCTGGACTTCAGGCTCTGAAGATGCTGACCTATCCCAAAGGGGGTTCCGGGAGAGGCAAGGTAAGCTTCTCTATTAATGGTATTGTAGAGCAGGACAAAGCAAGAAGAAACATTGACAGAGCCTGTAAAGAGTGATTTTACGCTTCTTTGTTAGATGGACTGTGGTGCTGGGACAGAAGGCAGCTTAGCTCATCTCTTAAAGCATCCACGATTTCAGATTCTTAAAGGCGAGACCAGTAGATTGATTTTTAGCAGGGACAGTTTCACAACATAGCTGCAGGCTGCTACAACAGGACCTTTTACAAAAGGAAAAGGGGGTCATTGTGTGGGACATATTCAAGAAAATTAAGATACCATTATAAAATAAATAAATTGAAAGAGATCGGAGACATACTCTGCAGTATGGATTGTGGGAGGAATCACTGTGTATGGTGACTCCAATTTTTTTTTTTTCATTTCGGTACTTCAGCTTCCTTCCTTTTTATTTGGTGTTTTTACATATTAATTTGAAATTGTGCTTGCTTTTTCTGTTTTGGTTGGCCTGGCATTGGCTACTCAGGGTATTAAGAAACATATCTGATTTTTAGTTGACGTTTAACGTGGTAAAATTATGTATATTTTTATTGATTTAAAATAATTAAAGATATAAAAATTGAATTTGAATAATAGACAAACATTTAACCCTTTTTACTTTCCTTTTGGTCACCTGATTTTTTATTTTGATTATTTTATATTGAATTTATTTGAAATTTAACGTAATAATTTTTTTTGTTATCTAGATATGAAGATGCCATGGTGCCAAAAGACATTGTGGATGTTTGGCTTCGCAAAATTAAATTTAAAAAATAAAAGAAATCAAAGAATTGTTGTGACTTATGAGAAGAATCATTTTGGATTCACGTAGTGATTTTTTTTTTTTTCATTTTAACACTCATTTTGGATTCACGTAGTGATTTTTTTTCTTTTCTTTTTTCATTTTAACACAATATTTTTTTTAGTTGTTACTTTTACATTATATTATTTTGAAATCATGCTTTATTATTTTGTTTTGGCTAGCTTAGTATTGGCTACCCATGGTATTGAAAAACAAATCTGACTCTCAATTGATGCTTAATTTGACAAAATGATATGTAGTTTTATTAATTTAAAACAATTAAAGCTATATGAATTGAATTTGAATAATATAAAAATATTTAGCCCCTTTTCTTGAAAAAATCAGCGACTAAATTACACTAACAAGGGAAAGATCTAAACTTTTTTTTTTTCTTTTTGGTCACTTGATTTTTTTTTTCCAATTTTATCAATTTAGGTTGAGTTTATTTAGGATTGGTCTTAATAATTTTTTTGGTTGTCTGGATATGAGGATCTCAAAATGTAGGGGAATATTCAACACTTGGTTGATACTCAATTTTACAAAATTAAATTTATTTTTATTGATATAAAAAAATAGAACTTTAGGAATCAAATTTGAAACTAAAAACAAAGTCAAGGATTGGAGTGAATATTCAGTGGAAAAGTGATAGATGTGTGCATTGTATGCGTTAACATATGAAGAAAGTCATTGCACTTTAGCGATGCACGAGACTTCCTCCGGTAATGAAACATTGGCTTTCTTGGTTGCGTTAGCAGCATGATGAGCTCTTGCTGATAGTGCAACACATGTTGATGAAGACATGAGAGAAACTTTGGCAACCTTTTTTCTCTCTTCTTTCATTGGGATCCATGCTGAGATGCCAAGAGATTAAAGATGTTCTGTCATTATATTTTTGTACCAAATTTGATCATTATTTTTTTATTTAAGTTTTTTTTTAATTGTATCCTTCAATATTGAATTTGATGGAAATTGAGCTTTGTGATTTTTTTATTTCCTTCTTATGGGATTATCATGGTCCTGGGATTTAGGTAATGAGTTTGATAAGTTAACCCGAGTTGACTTTGATTTTTTTTTAAAGTTTAATATTTCTTTGATTTCATTCTTAACATTGGGTTAGTGTGATAATTGAGCTTTATATTTTTTTCTATTTTGCATTTTGTTATGTATCTCATTTGTAAGGTTTGATAGATTTACTTAGGTTTATTAAGGTGTATTTCTTTTGTCTCTCTTGTTAATTGATTTTTATTTTATTTTGTCCTACATTTGGATTGTTGAGAATTGAGCATTATAATTTTTTTATTTGTTTTCTATGAGGTTATCACAGCCTCACGAATGAGATCACATATTTAGTATGCTAACTTAAGTTGACTCGAATTGCTTTTTTATCCTTTTATTTATTTATTTATTTTTAATTTTATCATTCATTATTGAATTGTTAAATAATTGAGTTTCATAATTTTATTTTTTTAGCAAGTTTTCTATTTATGTATGTCATCATGATCACCTTTTTATTTAAATCCAGTCAATTCATTGTTTTTTTTTCCATCATATATTTAAACGAAACTAATATATGAAACCTAGTTGGGTCTATGACTTAATTCACCAACTTTTTTTTTACTTTTTTAAAATGCACTAAAAATATTTGAATAAATTTTTTTATTCGGCATGCAGTATAGTGTGGGCCACTTATCTAATTACTTTTACTAAAAATAAGATGGAAATACTTATGGAGCTTCATTGTTCATATGAACAATGAACCTGGTCTCTTCTTCATTTTATTTTAGCTCTTTTTTTAATTTTAATTTCATCTCTCTCTTTTTTTCATCTTTTAATTGTCATTTAGGTTGTTTTTGAACTAGTTAAGTCAATTACATCATGTTAGAGAAACTCTTATACCTTTTAATTTTAAATCCATGTTAGGCAAGGAATCAATTCAAAAGTTTTTTTCATATTAGTTTCATCCTATTTTTTTAAAATTTCAATCTCGAATATTTTTTAATAGTTCATTAAATTGCTTTTGGATAGTCAATTTAACTGAGTTATATCAAGATAATGTTTACATAATTTATTTTAAATCCAGGCTAAACAACAAATTAAATAAAAATATTTTAAAATTAATTTATTGAATTAAATTTAATAATAATATCAAATATTTCTGCATAGATTTTAGAATTTTATTATGTTAAAAAAAAATAATCAGGCCCGCATCATAACACATAAAACATGTACGCAAAAACTAGTATTTGTTAAATTTCTTATGCAATTAAGTCAGCGACGCTATTCATTTAAAAACTAGTATTTGTTAAATTTCCTAATTTCCTATGCAATTAAGTCAGCGACGCTATTCATTTGTACATTCCACGCACCCTCCTCCACTCTCGACGTGTGTAGCATATAACAATTATCTACCTTATCACTCTGGACGGGTGTAGCATATAACAATTATCTACCTTATCTTCTTATTTTTCCTTTGAGCCTGCAAATCAGAGTGAGAATAGAGCAGTGTACATCCAGGAATAAGAATTGGACGAAAATGTTGAAGCAGTGGAAGGCAGATATCTTGAAAATATAACTTAAATTCTTTTTTATTATATTAGCATTCTTTTACAACATCCTGGCTTCACTAATTTCAATGAAGTTCAAAACACTAACGAAATATGACAATCTATCGTTGTTTTATTTTTATTTATTTGAAATTTATAACTAAATATTACTTGAGAAAAATAACTAATGAAAACATCTTAATGACTAGACATCAGTATCCTCTTTAATCTTTTCCGGATAAAAGAACCACATCCTCCAATTTTCCAAACCATTTTGTGGCTCAGAGTGAATGGCATATTGAAATCATTTGATATTTTTCTCTGCTGGCAAACGGGAAGGCCCGAGGAAAACATGCAAGGCCTCATTTCTTTGAGGAGCTCTCCATGCTTTCTTCACAGTTGCCCTCGCTCTTCCAATACAAAGCATCTTGTATCTAAACCTCATTGCAGTTTAAGAAAGCGAAGCACAAGTAGTCTAAGAAGCACTTTGCCGTCCATTTCCCTCTCGCTTTTCGGTTCAGGGTTCTTCTTAGGTCCCCTCATCGATGGACTTCACTCAAGAGTGAATCTCGTGGTATACCAAAATGGGTCAATCGACATCGGTCCTCTTCACACAAACATTTGGGTAATGTCTGGTACTTTTGTTGTTTCTTGGTCCATGAGTAGCACCACCCAGATTAGTTCAGTTTTACTTCTGCAATTATTGATGCTGTAGGTTCCTCCCTTGCTTGGATTGTTTTACTGCTCTGTCGGGTTGCTGCAACTGTTCTTGGATCAAAGGGCACCTTCGAAGGTTCCAGAAGGAAGCCTAGAGAAAACAGCAATTGCGTTAGTGTAAGTACCTCCCGATTAATTTCTTATACTTGTAACACAATAAAAGGAAAAAAAAAAGTGTGTATACATGAAAGAAAGACATGTTGTCTTACATCTCCCAACATGTTGTTTAACACAGAGCACTGTTGCTATTCATCGAATTGAGTGCTGAAATGTATAGAGCTGGAATAGCAGACAACATCGAGGCTTACATATTATTTGCATTAGCAGAATTGATATGGTTTTACCTGGACAGAACATGGATTGGATTCACCCTGGCTTCCATCATAGGCCTCTGCTGTCCGCTAGCTGAAATTCCCATAATGAAGGCCACCCTATCTCACAATAAAACATCAACTGCAACAATTGAAAGGCATATGTAAGTGCTTATTGATCTCATTGCAGGTTGTTCCACCTTTGGTATTACCCACAAGCAAACATTGAGATCCTTGGTCAGGTAATTCAATATGATACAAATCAACACAATAAATAGCTAAACCTATGATTGATCAAGAAATTAAACGCCATATTCATTTTATGCAGGGTTTAGTCACTTGGACAACCACTTGCTACTTTGTTTACACACCATTTCTGATCAGTTTATCACGCTGGTTGAGATCAATGATAACTCCTGCCAACAAGTCTGCTTAGAGATGGTCGGAATTTCTTCCGCAACAGGAACTAGAATTGAAACAACCTACTCAAGAATAAAGGGAATCTGTTACATGCTGAAAGTGATTACAAGATAACAAGAGCTAAATGAGGAGTTGTTTCAGAGTAGAATAATTTTTTTTTCCTTTCCTCCTTTAAAATGGAAAACGTTGAAGTATCCATGAACACTTATGCAAGTGTATCAAACGAAAAGAAAAGGTCTAGCATGTGGAAAGTGGATTAGTAAATGGAAATAGATGGAATAAAACTAGTACAAACATTGATCAGAAAATTATACACAAAAAAGAAACACAAATTTGAAATTGATTAATAGTGAATAATGAACTTGTATGGTGAATGTTAGAAGAATAGAAGTAGGAAAGCAAGCAGGCAAACCATGACCAGTAGTTATTTCCATAGCCCTACATTTTTTAGTTTCGTTTGAAATTTTGGTGGTTGCTTTAGTGATTGTTTTTTGAGCTTTTTTCCTGTCACAACACAGAATGTAAAACAGTAGCTCTGCAGTTTCTTTCATTAATTCAGTTCGTTCATTCATTCTTCAAGAAACAAAAAACAACTGTATAATTCAGTGCTATGTATTAGGCACCATACCGTCACTGCTATATTTCTACCAGTGCTGTAATTCAGATCATTCATTCTTTCAACAGTAATTCAGTGGTATATTTATATCTGGGCACCATCCTACCTGTATAATCAGAAGAGTGGTGGAAACATTCATTCAGATGGTAACTAATGCCAGAGACTGTCTCCCTCATTCAGGCACTAAAATATGATTTTTGTTTTGATACTTCAACTGCAACCCATGAATCAGAATAAGGCTAGCGAATTCCTATTAAAGACTGTTGCTTTTTTCCCTCCAAATTACCAAAAGGATATTTAAAGCACTCAACTAGTTGAGAATGAAACATGCAACTTATAATTTTGGAATGATGCTGAAAAGATATCACCTATATCACCAAGATCAACCAAATGAAGTAGGGACCAGGATACTCGTAAAGCAACGGCACCACAGCTTACACCACATGATCAACCCTCAGTGGATGTTTCAGGCATCATAAGACTTGGAAATTGAACAGATTTTTAAATTTAGAAAAGGGAGGGGCAAGATAAAGGTAGAGAAGCATTTACATGCACACACAAACAATAGATTATGGACGTGCAACTCTATATAGCACAAATGGATATGAATGCCAACACTGGAAATGCCCCCAGTGTTAAACCAAATGTATAAAAGTTGCAACGGTAATAGAATCTACTTTTAACTTGCCACGTCAATCAAAGAAGCATGGAATATTGAAAGCTTACTTCATATTTAACACCTCAATGATCCTCACAAAACCCTATTAAAGTTTTTAGAGCAGGAATGTTGTTAGTGGGCAAATCATTCAGCAAGGCTGTGGTGGCAGCATCTGCAGAGAATCCCCGATTGACCATTTCTTCCACAAGTTGCCTTGCCATTGATGGATCCTTGTGTTGGAGAAATCCTTGGATAATGACATTATAGGCGCATTTGTCAGGTGTACATCCATCCTCTTCCATTTTTCTAAAAAGCTTATAAGCTTCAATTATTAGTCCTTCTTTGCAAAGTGCACCAACTAATGCAGTGTATGTATAAACATTAGGCTTCAATCCTTCCTCAATTAATCTAGAAAACAATTCCTTTCCATCCTTAAGCTTCCCACACTTGCACAAACTATCAATGAGTATGGTGTAGATTACCAAGTTAGGTTTCACATTGCTCCTTTGCATCTCTTGAAATAGAGCAAATGCCTCTTCAAGATTCCCATGTTTGCACAGGCCATCAAGCAACACTCCATAAGTCATTATATTTGGCATGTGGCCATGAGCACAGATGTACCTGAAAAGCTGTTGCGCAGCCAAAGGTCTCCCTGCTCGACACAAGCCACTTATGATAGTAGTAAAAGTAACTATGTCAGGAACTAAACCTTTTCTCAACGTTTCATCAAGAAGTTGCACTGCCTCCTCAATCCTTTCGATCTTACAGTATCCATTCATCAAACTAGTGTAAGTATAAACATTAGGCGTGCAGCCCTTACTCATCATTAAATCAAATACGCTTCTAGCTTCATCCATTTGCCCTCGCAAGCAATACCCATCAATCAGTGTACTGTAATTAACAACATTTGGCACACAACCTACCTTTTCCATTTGCTTCAGAAACCCAAGCGCCTCATTGGCTTTCCCGCTTTTAGAAAGACTGTTGATTATCACATTATAAGTATATACATTGGGTTCAAGACCTCTCACCAGCATATCGTCATACAACATCATAACTTGATCCATTTTTCCCTCCATGCAAAGCCCATTCAATAAGGTAGTAAAGGTTACAACACTAGGTTCCAACCCAAGCTTAAGGATTTTGCTCAAAACAGACAACCCAAAATCAACGCGATGTAAATGGCAGAAGCAATTAATCAATATACTTAAACTATGTATATCCTGTTCGATTCCTAGAAATTCTATTTCTTTGGACAAATAAACCACGGTCTCATAATGTCCCATTCTAACAATCGATGAAAACAATTTACTAAATTCGACTATACAAGGCAGAGGTTTCCTAAGAAGCATGAGCCTGAAGGATGCTAAAGCACCATCCTTATCTTTGAACCATACCTTGTTATGCCCGCTGCCGCTGCTCAAAGAAGAGAAAAAGAAGCCCATGATACCTATTTGCTGTTGAAGACGAAATTTAACAAGAGCCCGAAAAATCACCATCGCCGCCATTATCGTCTTTCTTCACTGCCCCTGTTTTTATTTTCCCCTTCTTTCTTTTGAAATGAAGAGAGAGGGGTGAGTTTGCAAAAAAAGTCTCGAACTTTTTGAAGGGAGACACGTGAGAGAGAGACAAGTCTCGGGCTCTCAGCTCCAATTTCTGCTCAAGTTTCCTAAGAGGAGCTCTCCTTACTCCTGAGGGGTCTTAGGGTTTAGCTCTAATAAAAAAATCTTTAATCAATTAAAACAAAGTGGTAGGTAGGTAGAGCATTATTTTCTCAACCATAACTAAGGTGGAAAACCTTGAATTTTAGGAGTGAAGGTGAAGTAAATTAAAGAGAAAAAATAAATTAATAATAGGGGTATGGAACAAGGAATAACTCTTGAAGGGCAACCGACCGCACGTGAGAGAGAGACAAGTCTCCGGCTCTCAGCTCCAATTTCTGCTCAAGTTCCCTAAGAGGAGCTCTCCTTACTCCTTAGGGGTCTTAGGGTTTAGCTATAATAAAAAAATCTTTAATCAACTAAAACAAAGTGGTAGGTAGGTAGAGCATTATTTTCTCAACCATAACTAAGGTGGAAAACCTTGAATTTTAGGAGTGAAGGTGAAGTAAATTAAAGAGAAAAAATAAATTAATAATAGGGGTATGGAACAAGGAATAACTCTTGAAGGGCAAAATATACATTTTGGCTTGGGAGTGTGAAATAAGCTTTAAATTTGAGCAGAGGTGACAATTTCCTTGTCAATGCCAACATAATCAACCTGTAAAAATAGGGTTATAAGTTCACTAATTTAACTCATGACCCATATTTACAAATAACCAACTATTAAGTAATCTCAATACAACGTTTTCGGTCTTCTTGAAGTTTTTATTTTGATGGGATGTTTGAAAATATAATAATAGTTTCTTTTTAAAATATTTTTTATTAAAAAATATATGAAAATAATATTTTTTATTTTTTAAAATTTATTTTTGACATAAACACATTAAAACAATCTAAAAATATATATAAAAAATAATTTTAAACAAAAGCAAATAAATTTTAGCTAATCTCTATTTGGACCGCAACCCCAAGGAATATATACCTAAGAAAGAAACATGGAATATATACCTAAAAAGAAACATGTTGAATGGTAATATTAATAGTCTGTAGTTTCTCTTAAAAACAAAAACAAATAAACTTTAGCTAATCTCTATTTGGACCGCAACCCCAAGGAATATATACCTAAGAAAGAAACATGGAATATATACCTAAAAAGAAACATGTTGAATGGTAATATTAATAGTCTGTAGTTTCTCTTAAAAATGATAATAAGTTGACATGTTGAATGGTAATATTAATAGTTTGTAGTTTCTCTTAAAAATGATAATAAGTTCAATGGAATTCAACTTGAATCTTAGATTAGTGAGGCGAATCCAAAGTATTTTAAGGAATTTTCATGTTTAGAAGAGATATAATTTAATTAATTTTGTTTTTCATGTAACCGCATCACCTTTTTCTTATTCCTTCAAATATCTCTAAAAATAGAGATGGATAGATAAATATTATAGAAACACTAGTTTTAATTTTGATGTTTTTAGTAGTTTTGTAAATTAAAGAGACTAACCTCTTAATTTTTTTATACAAATTTAAAATTTAATTTTTAACGCTCAAAATAATTATAAACATGAAATCTAGAGTTCAAACTTTGTAAGTAACAGTTAAAATTTAAAACCCATCCAGTCCAAGATATGCATTAGCCTCACTTTATTTTGTATTTAATTTCTAAAAAATTAAATATTTGAAAGCGTAGATAATCCCGTAATCCTATACATAAACTGAAGGCTTGTGGATAAGTGTTGATTGATCTGACTGGTACCAATTTTCAGGTTCTTCCACCTTTGGTATTGCCCGCAAGCAAACATAGCAGTAAACGTCCATTAATAGCTAAAACCTGCAGTTGCTTAAGAAAACAGGTAAATGTTCTTTGGACATCCTTGGTCTTGTAATTCTTACGACACTAAACTATACCATTAATAGCTAAAACCTGCAATTGCTTAAGAAAACAGGTAAATGTTCTTTGCATGCTGGGATCGATCACTTGGACAGCCACTTGCTACTTTGTTTACAGGCCATTTCTGGTCAGGAAATTCTTATAACTTCTCCTGGCAAGGCTGCTCAGGGACCATTTCAACTGGAATTGAGAAAACCAACTCAGGAATAAAGGGAATCTGCTATGCACTGACAGTGTTCATGAAATAACAAGAAACGCTAAATGAGAAGAGCAGTTTCAGAGCACAATTTTTTATTTTTTTTCCTCTTTTAGAGAGAAGACATGTTGATGTATCGAGAGGACGCTTCTGCAAGTATATCAAAAGAAAAACGAGCCTAGCAAGTGGAAATATCTAGCAAAGGGAAATACAGGGATAAAACAAATACTAACACTTATCGGAAAACCATGCATCATTTACAAACAGGGAACCACAAATTTGAACTTAATCAATAGTACATAATGAAATAAAAGATCAACATATGGCGAATGTTAGATGAACAGAAGCAGGAATACAAGCAGGTTAGCCATGTCCAGCAGTAATTTATATTCATTTTTTAGCGCAGTTTGAAATTTTGATGGTTGAGCTATCCTGGCACGCCAGAGAAGGTCCAGGAACAGTAGCTCTGCAATTTCTCTAATTAATTTTATTCGTTGATTCTTCGAAAAAGTATACACCCATGTTCGCATCAGAAGAATAACAGAAGACATGGAAAAAGAAGGGGGAAAAAAATACAAGAGACAAGGGCTGCATCTAAGCTTAACTATAGATTAAAGTGCAGCAGTCTTCCATGTATTTCTACATGGTTAGTCAGCAAACTGGATTTCTGATACAGATCCTTGCGGATCTAGCCAACAAAAACAACACCCACAATGTCTGGAAACTTCTCCTTAATTGCTGCTTTGATTCCTGAACCAATAGACTCAGGTCCCGTGTACTCAACACGGCATTCCCCATTCTCAACAGATAGCACTTCCACGCTCCCTCCAAAGTTTTTAATAGCTGGTCTCAGTATATCCAGATGATCATTTACTGCCTACATTTCCACAACAGACAGAATTAAATTACTATTACAATAATCAAACAAATTCAACACAAAAAAACTAAAAAAAAAGAAAGGGTATTGCAATATGGGACTTGCCTCAACGGTTGTCTCCTTTGGTTCTTCGAAAGATAATTGGCGAATATCTCGAACAGCATCTCCAAATTTTTCTTTAAGAACTCTTTCAATTCCCATTTTCATGGTGGTTTCTGAGCTAGCACAGTTCCCACATGCTCCTGTTATTCATTCAAATTGGGTAAGCAAACCCATCATGTGTGTGTGTGTGTAAAAGTCAGGAAAAATTGGATTCGAGTGAAGAAGAAATGACCTTGGAGTTTGAGAGTGATAACACCATCTTCAACAGACACAACATCGACGTTTCCACCATCAGAAATCAAGTAAGGCCGAACCTCCTCTAGAACAAGGTCTACGTTTCGAGGGTTGAGCTCGAATTGCTGGGCCGAGTGGAGTCCTGGAGATGAGGAACCAGAGGGCGCTGTCGCTTTTATGGCAGATTTTTGGAAGATCCTTCTTCCAATTCCAACAAGTGGTATGCGTTGTTTAGTGATTAAGAATTGGGGTGGGCATGGGCGCGAAATGATTGATGGGATTTTCGGACAAGAAGGTAGGATTTTGGGCAGTGCCGTTGACGCCGAAGATGCCATGATTTTTGTGTTTTTTTTTTTAAGGCGAAGGGGATTGAATTTGATTGTTTTGGGAATTCCTTGCCAGCCTGCCTGTCTGCCGTGCTTTGTTCCGGCCTCACCTGCCGGGTAATTAGCAATCTAGCTGCGGTTTTTTTTTTAATTATTTTTTATTTTAAAAAATATATATTTTTTTTAATTTTTTAATATTACTTTAAAATCATCACATTAAAAAAATTTAAAAATATATAAAAAATAATTATAAATAAATTTTTTTAAAATTTTCATAAAATATAATTTAAAACACAATTTCAAATGGTGCTTAAATAATTTACTGAAGTTTTGTTTTCAGCATTTGGTTGCTATCCCAAAAAACAATAAAAATAAAAATAAAATTGTGTTTGATAATAGTGTACAAAATAAATTAATTGTCTCTTTATTTTATTTGGTTATGGTAGATAAAACATGATAAAATATTTTAAAAAATTATTTTACTTTTAATATGTATTGGTATCAAATTTACATATTTTTAAAAATAATTAGATATTATTTTTTTATTTAGTTTGTATTGAATGTAAAAATTAATAATATTATAATAAACATAGTTATAAAATCAAGACTGCCTAGCAGATTGACCGAAAACGGGGGCTTAGATTGATCTAAGTTTAAGAAAAATAAATAAAAAAAGGATTAACTCGACTTGAATTTGTCAAAAACTCGAATCCATCCAGATAGAAAAAATGGTCAAAACCCTTAGACTTTTTAAAAAAAAAAAAAATTGATCAAAATAAGATTGTTTTAATTATTTTTAAATTTTTTTAAGGTTAATTGAGCTGACTCTCCTAATATATGACCTGAACTCTATCTCTGGTTGACTCCCGAGTTGGATTTGAAAACTTTGATGATAATTATTTTTATTCATACATCAACTTGGGTCAACCAAGATTGACCCTCTTGTCTTGTCACTCTGACCTTGCCTCAGTTGACCATCAAGTCATGTTTTGAAATTATGATAATAATTATTTTTATTCTCATATAAACACGAGTTGACCCTTCCAACATGTGATGTGAACCCTAATTTATATTAGAAATTTTATGAAATGAATGAGGAAAATAAAAACAAATAATGTAAACATATGTAAATTGAACATTTGAATGAAATAAATGTTTTTTGATTTTGAGATCATAAATAAATTGTTTGTGTGCTAGTTTTTTAAAAATAGAATACAAAAAATAGCTAAAAAAACATATAAATGCAAATAAAACTTAAATGAAAGTAAGGCTTGAGGAAAGAAAGGTATTGAGATGTAAATTAAAAAAAATATATTACTTAACAATTAAAAAGGTGCAAAGTAAGAATATAGTGGACATTAATGAAATTGTTGAAGTGTATGGGGGGGCACTCACACGTGCATATGTGGCTGACTGGAAAGGAAAAGGAAAGAAAGAGGGGTTTTGGAGAGTTCATGCCAAATCCTCCGATTTCTCTTGGAAATTCATGTGATATACTAGTTTCAATGAGGATTTAGTGGAATAAACACATAAAACACCCACTAAAAAAGACTTGGGAAAGAAATCGAATGAGAGAAAAAAGAGGTCATAGTTTGGTGAGAAGAAAGAGAAAGGGCTTGGAAATTTTGAATAGTTGGCATTTAAAGCTTAGATTATTTCTAAGGGATCTAGAATTCAACAATGTAAGCTTGAGTTGGTTTGTGATGATTATTAGATAGATTAAAGAATTTTAAATTAGAGTTTGTCATGGAATTAAAGGAAATATGATTTTCTTTGAGATTGAGTTATGTTGACTGTAATAAGAGAAAATGAGAGAGAAATAATTGAGAAAATTGAAAGAGAACATGTATTATCTTGATGAAAGTTTCGGCCTATGCTAAGAAAAAAAAAGGGTTTGAACTCAATTCATTTAATTGACATGAAAATTAAGCGGTATAATATTCACTTACATTAAAAAAAATAACAGGTGATGTATGAATTGTGATAGATTTTTTAAAAAAATGCATGATTCCTTGTGTTGGATTGAGGTTGTTGATTTAAATTAACATAGTAATCATGTATGAATGTGTTGTTTTAAAAATAAAAATAATTGACCGGAAATAAAATCATAGAGTACAACGTAGCTTTGTGACTAACAAAAAAAAAAAGAAATAACTTAGAAGTTGATACAATCATGATAATGTTTGTGAGATGTGATGAATATGTGTACATGATTGTGCAAATAATAAATTAGAGGAGTTGAATTGTTTCTATGCAATGATAATGAGTTCCTAATTAATTATTTGCTTATACTATTTTAATAGGTGACTATAATGGGTAGTTTTAGGTGCGTTAATGGCATGGTTGAGTTTTTCCTTTTTAAGTAAACTTGTAGTTTTGTACCTTAGCTTCCATAAGAGATAAGCCACACCTAGAACTAAATTCTATAACTTTGGTTGTGATGAAAATAAGGAACGGTGTTCTTAAAGTAAGACTTTAATGGCAGAAGTTATAATAATGAAATTTAAGTATGCGATAAGTGTGTAGGAATTATAAGAAGTTTTGACTATTAATTAAATCGAGAATGTAGATTGAATGAGAAGTTTAAATGAGAATTCAATATAAGTTAAATTATAGATGAGGATTGAGTTAAAATAAATCAACTTAAATGGTATTATATGAAATGAGTATTAAATGAAAAGTGATACGGTATTCTTGTTGGTACAAAAAAATATATGCATAACAATAAAAAAAATATATCTAAAGCACAAACAACAAGTAAGTGGATACCACCTTGATATTTTGGTACTAAAACAAATTAATGTAATTTCATTTAATATGCCTTATTTTTTAAACTAGTACTCATGTGATTAGAACTAGCTTTCCAAACCATCTAGGTGGTGGCCAAGTGGTAAAGACTTGGGACTAAGGGGTTTGCTCCCTCTGTGGTCTCAGGTTCGAGTCCTTGGTTGCTCATATGATGGCCACTGGAGGCTTACATGGTCGTTAACTTCAGGGCCCGTGGGATTAGTCGTGGTGCGCGCAAGCTGGCCCGGACACCCCCGCGTTGATATAAAAAAAAAAAAAAAAAAAAAAAAACTAGCTTCCCAGTAATAGAATTAGCACCTGACAATAAGTGCAAACTAATTTCTTATTAATGTGACTAGTGCCTAGTAATGGGTTAAAGGACTAACTTTCTAGTAATGAGACTACTAACTAGTAATAGGTAGAAAAATCAATTATTCAGCATAATAAATAGTGCTTAGAAATGAGCAAAAGAAAACTGGTTACATAATGATGGGGCTAGGTCCAATAATAGGTGGTGGAGCTAAACACCTGGAAATAGGAGATCATGTTGGTAATGGTCTGGTGGCATTAGGTTGATAGTGACCTAGACATGTCATTTATTATGATATTTTGATAAAATCATAAAAAGAAGATAAATTAAAATTGATGAACAAAGATTAAAATGTACCATTAAAATTATTTTATTGATTGTATGTTTCATGATATAGTTATATTTATAATATGTGATAAATTTTATAGCCATGTACAAAAATATAGATATATGACTTGAATTAATGAACAAGTAATTAATAATCCTTTTGTAATATGCCTAGATAGCATTAATCCACGTGATGTGATAATACTTTTGATTAACTCTCACCAGGTTATTACATGTTTACAACTTTTTTTAGACACGTAATAATTATACATGTTGATAATTTGGATTGTTCTAATTACTTTTATGATAGGTATCAAAACTATAATTATTAAATGAATTTTTAATGACAAGTCTATTTCAAGTGTTTGATTTATTTATACATCATTTAATTATACATATATTATAACTTTGAGTTGTGTTTATGTGTGATGAAGTCCAAGATGGTTAAACATGATTGCGATGTTGATTTGTTGTGTATTTGAAGTTGTCAATAACTTGATACAGTTTAATTATAGAGAAAATTTCACCAAAATTTCAACATATATATATATATTGTTATATTGTTATCCAAATATAAGAGGGTGTTGCACATAACTCGGGTTGGTTTAAATTAAGATTTTAAAACTATGATAACAACTATTTCTATCATTACGTATCATAGTTTGACAATTTTAGAATAAAAAGTTTTTTTAAAATGATATTTTATAAATAAAAAAATAAAAGATATTGTTTTTAAAGGCATGTCTTTTTTGTATTTCCTTACAAAAATTCACTTTAAAATTGCCTGTAAAATAAATTTATTTTTATATGCTTGTCTTTATTTATATGTTTCTTTCATCAAACATATTTTTTTTTGTCATAAAAATGTAACCAAGTGCTATTTTACATATTAAATCAAAATCCTTTAAACGTAAAAAACAAAATTGTATAAGTGACACGACTAAAAGATTGATGTCTTCTTCCAAGTGCAGGAGTGTCGAAGTAATAAATAACTCGGCAAGACCGGGGTCGAACCACAAGGAGGTTAATTATACAAATTATAAATGACAATAGTACAACAACAACAATAATAATAATAGTAATAACAATAATAACAACAACGACAACGACAATAATAATAATAATAATAGTAGTAGTAGTAGTAGTAGTAGTAGTAGTAGTA